GGGGGTGATGATGATGTTTTTGCTTTTGGTGTTTGTCTTAGCCATATACATGCAATCTGTTTTTCTCCAAGTAACATACAAACATTTTTTTGTTCGAGTTTTGATGGAATTTAAAAAAATCAAATTCGCTCCTTTTTCTCTGAGTAATTTTGACATTAATCTTTCATTCATAGTTTAACATCACAGAATATATAATACTACAGAGACTTCTCTTTTTTTCATTGTCCTCAATTCCTCGTAATTATATTTGATTCTTACATAAGAAATTACATTATGTGCCCCCCAGCAAACAAGGACACTATTCGTGTAGAAAGGTTGAACCTCCTCGACTACACTGAAGTCGACTCTTCAAAACAAACTTCAGTCATTCCGATCTTACTTAACAACGTTTTATTTATAACAAGAGTAAATAAAATGAACAATATGCCTATCCAGGCCACATGTACACAATTACTAGTATGCCGCCACAAATATTATGGATAATCCAATTTGAACTAAACCAAAAACCAAAAATAGAAACAGGCTGCACAGTTATTCGTACATAAGAAATTACGTTCTGTACCCCCCAGCAAACAAGGACACTATTCGTGTTGAGGGGTTGAACCTTCTCGACTACGCTGACGTCGACTCGTTCAATGGTTCAGACTCCATCGAGTGCTGGCTGCACACAGAGGCTGCGGTCCAGCGCTACACAGACGACTTGTGGGAGGCTCTTGCCTCAAAGCTCGTCAAGGTCATGTGCTGACTGCTTTTTGTTGTGTTTTGTTATTGCTGTTTCGTTTGGGTTTGTTTTTTTAAAAATAATGATCGCCTGTGGGTGGTTGGAGACTGTTCCTGGTGGGAGGGCGCTACCTCTGTTCTTTCCCTCTTTCGTTTCGGTGTGTCTTTCTTGCTTTTTCACTCCTCCAACTGGCCGCAAAACTCTTAATAAAATACTTATTATACTAAATCACATGATGTCTCCTTTGTGGAAACCTGTTGAGCGCTGCTATTGTAGTGTCATATTTATACACAAAGTGTGATCTCAATTCAGCAAGACAGCCGAAGTATTCCTGTACAATTTGGCATGAAAGCTTAAGGAAAGGTGCTTCTGAAATTGAGCACTTTTTAAATTTCGCCACGTGTGCAACGTTTGTCGTTTTTAACTGTTTTCAGTGTACATGGGGGTAGTGGTAAGCGATTTGAATGGATATAACCATTATTCCTGAACAAACGAAAGTGATACAGTGGAGTCCACTTATAACGAGTCCGGAAAAAACGAGAAGTCTTGTTATAAAGGCACTATTCTAAATCCCCATTTTTTTTCTCCTCTTTACCTTTTTAAACAAAATACTGCTATAGCGCTATCAGACACACTTGCAAGTCGGTTATAGCGGAATATTGCTGCTGCTGTGCACATGGCATAGGGCAATTATACATAATGCTAGACCTCGCCAGTTGAGAAACTTGTTGCTGATCTTGCGAAACAAAGAATAGGAGAGCCCATGTGCGTCAACAATGAAGGCCGGAGCAA